CATCTGCCAAGTCCCTTCAGAAAATATCTTCCTTTGCCTTATAGTCCCTAATATAGCCAAAAAAAATAGCTTAGTCCATCATCTTGAAAATGGCTTTGTGTTGAAACAGTAGAGAGAATCCATAGGGCAATTGTCACCAATTAGCTGGACAAACAAAAATTCTCACCACTGGACCTATGAGCAATTATCATGATAAATGGAAAAAGAATTATAATCAATTATAATAAATTTGTTCATAGAAATATATCAGAAGGGAAAAATCACTGGAAAAAGAATACTTGCTTAAAATGAGAAGGTCTACGGGAGAGAGAGACAGAGGAACACACTCAAGGAGATGGACTGACAAAATGGCTTTAAAAAGATGGACTAAACCATAGCAATGATTGCAAGGGCAATGAAGGATCGTTCTGTAATAAATTAATGGGAACTGACCTGACGGCATCAGAACAACAAATTGTAATTAGCACCAGTAGACCGTGTGCAGACTTAGCAATCAGGATTAAGGCATTTGGAAAAGTATGAAAATAAAGCTTATTCAGACAATTACTATAATATCTAGGGTTATTGCTGGGAACAGATAATCCATATCTGAATAGCTCAACTGTACATCTATGAGACATATTTTGTTAAACAAATATTACAACCACTGTGATATTTACTATGATAATATCAGAGAATTTTAAAAAGGGTCTCTCACATTTCTGTATTTTGTGTAAGTCCAGTACAAGATTTTTAATATTTACTATGTAGTACGTAAATATATATTGGTAAAATTGCTAAAGTTCGTAATTTCATATATTTTACCTATATACATACTTACACTTTGTTTAACATGTAATATTTTTGAACTCTGATTACTACTAAGTAACCAGTGATTAAATGAAATACTGTAATTTTTATGTCTATTTTATTTAACTGTATCTATTGATGAATTATTATTTGAATTTGAGGTTTAGGCAGCTGATATCTGTTGATTTGAATTTATGTGGTGAAATAAATATATATTCATTTTCCCCTACCTAATCAAATAATAGAGGAGCTCCAGAGGCCTACTGGTACAAAGTAGTGCTGCACTCCTAAAGGCATGAAGTTCAAATCCACCAGCTGCTACGGAGGATAAAGATGGGCATTCTCCTCCCATGAGCTTACTGCCTCTGAATATTTTTCAGAGGGTCAGCTATAAGTCGATCCTGACTTCACAGCACACAATAACCACCACAACCCAGACATTACAACTGCCATCCCTATTATGCTACAGGAAATGGAGTCATTTTCAATCAGTAGTCTTTATATTAACAGGGCAATTCTATGACATTGAATACACAGTAAGACTTTAGTAAAACTTTCCCTCTAACAATAAGATATGTAATTACATATTACTACTGTTACAGATTGAGAGACATGACAACTGTGCTTATGACTACTTAGAAGTTCGGGATGGAAACAGTGAAAATAGCCCTTTGATAGGGCGTTTCTGTGGTTATGATAAACCTGAAGATATAAAATCTACCTCAAATACCCTGTGGATGAAGTTTGTTTCTGATGGAACCGTTAACAAGGCAGGATTTGCTGCTACCTTTTTTAAAGGTAAATTTGAAGCAATTTAGAAGTGTGAGTTCTTTTGGGTTTTTTTTGTTGTTGTTTGGTTTTATGGGGTTTTTTTGGGGGGACGGTGGTTTGTCAGGGATAAAATGTGGCATTTACATTTAAACTAGAGAAGAACTAGAGTAAATCTATTGAAAGTTGAATAATGCACTATTCATAAAGACATTTAAATAGTTATGGACGAAAAGCATCTTAGTTAAATACTGGGATATGGAACTTTATAGCAAAAAGTAGGGTCTTTGTTAGGGTACTCTACCACTTCTTTTTATTAAACAATAAAAAATAACAAACACAGAAAGAAATTTGAAAATAGAGAAAGAAAATGTAATGCATGCATTTAACAAAGACTTCATAATCAGAAAAGAGTTTACTGATATGAAGATCATTAGCTTATTTCCAGGTCATAGATTTTCTAAACCATTTTTTACAGAATAGTGGTCCTCATATTGGAATAATTTATGACCTCCTTAGTCAGATTTCTGATCCTTAAAATGTCTTTTTGGTAAAGAATAATTATCACTGTTAATTCCCAGATACAAGACTAAACTTCTATTTATGTTCATGTGCCCTTTTTTATATTTACTAAGGTAATAAGAAAGTTCTTTTAGTGTACATAAAAACATGAAGTATGCATTTGGCAAATCCATAGACCATTCTGTTAAATGTGCCATTCATTGTACAATAAAATTTCTGTCATAAGAAGAGACAAGAGGGTTTTTTTTTAATCTATAAGGATTTTTTTTAAGAAAAATACATTCAAATATGCTGTTATCTAGAATGATAAACATTTACATTTTTCTTCAATTTAAATTACAAGCATATTACATCTTTATCCTGAGTTACTCTTTATTGACCATATTAGTTTAAAAACTAAATTGGTACTACATATAGCAAAGGAGTCATGCTTATCTTTTAAAATGTATATTGATATTGTTAGGTGTTGCTGAGTCGAGTACAACTCATTGTGACCCTTTGAATGGTAGATCTGACTCCTGTCCTCTCCTGTGCCGATCTCACAATCTCTGACACACTCCAGGCCCTTACTTCAGTAACTGTCTGGGGAAATTCATCTAGCTGAGGATCTTCTTCTTTTTGACCATCCTACCACCTTTCTTAGCATGGTGTTTTTTCCCAAGGAATAGCCTTTCCTAGAAACATGCAAATGAGATTTCACCATTCTTGCTTCCAATGACACTCTTGCTGCACCTTTTCCAAGTTATGTTTGTTTGTGTTTTTGGCAGTCCATAGGATATTCGGTACTCTTCTCCAACACCACAGTTCAAAGACATCAATTTTTCTTCTGTCAACATATTCATTGTATAGTTTTTAGGAGCATGGCAAGAGAATGAAAAGGTCAAATTCTGAAATAAACACACCCTAGTACTCAAAGTTACATCTTGGCTCCTCAGTAATTTGGAGAGGTCCCTGACCGTAGACTTTTCCAAATCTCCTGATCTCCTGGCTGTGAAAAACAATTGTATAGATTGTGGATACAAGTACTATAAAGTTATTAACAGTTTCAATTTTTCTCTCTATTATGATGCCACCTATGGGTCCAGTGGTAAGAAGTTTTGTTTTCTTGATCTGGAAATGCAGTTCATATTTAAGGCTACAGTGTTTGATATTTTCTTCAAATATTTCAAGCCCTCCTTACTTTCAGCAAGCAAGGTTGTGTTATCTGAATGTTGTTGTTATGTGCTGTCAAGTCTCCTGCAACTCTTAGCGATCCTATGTACCTCAGCTCTGAAGCCTGCCCTGTCTTGAGCCAATTTCATTGATTCCAACAGACCAACCTGCATTACCCCAGTTACTGTGTCAATCCATATCATATGGCATCTTCCTCTGCTGTGCCGTCCCTCCACAATTCTGAGCATAATGTTCGTCAAGGATAGGTCCCTCCTGGCCTAAAGTATGTGAGACAGAGCTTCAGAATCCTAGCCTCCAAAGAGAAACTTGGTTTCACTCTCTCCAAGACAGACCTATTTGTTTTCTTGGCTGTCCATAGTATGTTTAAAACTCTTCTCCAGCACCACAACTCAAAGGCATTGATTTTTCTTCTGTCACCCTTAGTTATTGTCCAGCTCTCTGACCATGTCCTAGATTAGGGGCACCTTAGTCCCTAGACTGACTCATTGCATTCCAGTGTTCTGGAGAGGTCGTTGACAGCAGATCCCAATGTAGTTTGTCTTTTGGTTTTCTGACTGCTGGTTCCAAGAGTGTTGATTGTGGAGCTGTGCAAGCTGTAACTGTTAACTCTTCTCCATCTATCATGGTGATTCCAGTTGGCCCAGTGTTGAAAATCTTTCTCTTCTTGATATTGAACTTCAATCCATATTGAAGACTATTGTCCTTGGCCTTCTGCACCAAGTGCTTCAGGTCCTCCTCACTTTCAACAAGCAAAGTGTGTCCTCCACATAACATAGACTGTTGATAACTTCCTCCAATCCTGATGCCACATTCCTCCATATAAAGCCCCACTTTCCAAATTATCTTTTCTCCATAGAGATCAAAAAGGTATGGAAACAGGATGCACACCTTTCCTGATTATGAATTATGCAGTGTTTCCTTGCTTTGTTCTAAGGACTGCTTCCTGGTCCAAGTATAGATTTCACATAAGCACAATCAAGTATCCTGGTATTCCCATTTTCCTCAAGGTTAGCCACAATTTGCTATGATCTACACAGTTAAATGTCCTTGCATAGTCAATAAAACACAGATAGGTGTTCCTCTGGTACTCTTTGCTTTCTGCCAAGATCCATTCACCATTACTGATAATGTCTCCAGTCCTACAACCTCTTCTAAACCCAGCTTGTATTTCTGGTTATTCTCTGTCAATATACTGTTGTAGTCATTTCTGGATGATCTTTAGCAGGACTTTGGTAGCATGTAATATTAGTGATATTGTTCTATAATTTCCATACTTTAATGGGTCACCTTTTTTTGCAATGGGAATAAATATGAATATATGTAGTAAAATTGTTCTTTACTGTGCATTTACATGTCTTAACTTTTTTATATGAGCTATATTTTATAGTAAAAGTGAGGTATCAAGTTTCATTCATGTAATAATTACATATGTCCATTGATTTGAAAAACTTTCCAAAGAACATTGTTATTGTTGAAGTGTTCTGTCGAGTTAGTTGTAACTGACTCACAGTTGATTCTGCAGAGAGTTTTAAGAGGTTAATCATATGGGAGTAGATTTTCTACCATTCTCTTACAGAACAGCTGGTGGATTCAAACCATGTGTCTGAATTGTGGCACAATTTCTTACCAGTAGATCACCAGAGCTAACTTCAGAGGATATTGTTTGCTATTTAACTCATTAATTTGTTCTTCGAGAGTGCAATTATATAGTACCAAAGCTTATTGTTGTTATGTGTTAATGAGTTGTTTGTGACTCATAGCCACCCTATAGCCCTGACTCATAGCCCTAAAACCTGCTCAAGCCTGTGCCAACTTTACTGTCTCTGACACACCTACTACCCTCATTACCACAGTCACTGAATCAATCCATCTCATGGATCTCTCTTCCTTTCTTTCTGTGTTCTTCCACTCTTCCAAGCGTGACTGATAAGGTTTAATAGTGGGCGTGAGTATGGCAGAAACTATGAGGGTGATTCACAATAGCCCAAGGCTCCATTCTATTGTTCTTAAGGTCAAGATGAGTCCTTTGTGAAACATCTTACTCTCCAATACAATTAAAAAAGCATATGAAAACAATGTATTCAAACGTTGTAAATGAACTACTTGTTAAAAAAGGAGTAAAAAGGAAAAAAAAAAGCAGATGTATGTATTTATCAGAAGTATGGTATTATTACATTTTCTGAATTAAAAGATTTAGGTAGGAAACACTACATACTTTAAACGTAAGAATTCAAGCCAATTTCTGAAATTTGCTTTGTTTTGTCTTTAAATTTCTATTTCTTGCAATGTATTTCTTAACAAGGACATATCGTTAACTTATTTCTCAAGAACTGTCAAGTAATATGATAATATGAATTAACAAATCAAACTATGATTTAATTTTCTGTATCATTCTAAAATATTTTTATGTTTTAATCATTCATGTTTGACCTTTATTTAAGATAAAAATACACCTGGTATCCAATAATATGATCTTTATTTGTACATGCTATTACACTTTCTCTTAGTTTTTATAATATTTTTTAGTTTGTATATATTCAAGATCAAGTAGACATTCTTTTGCTATTTTCCACTTTTTAAAATATTTTTTTAATTTGAATTGTGCTTTTTAATGAAGGTTTACAGAAAAGTTAGATTTTTATTCATTCATTGTTGTATATTTTACCTCTCTGATTGTTTTACATATAGTGCCTAATCATATACTCTTTTAAATAGTTCTTTACTTCATCTGATAATTATTTATCCTCTCTTACCCTATTCTTCTCCCAACCCCCCCAACGTCAGACCTGCTTTATAACCTGCTTCCTAAGTGGTCCTATGAAGTATTTATTATTTTGTGACTTTGATATCTCACTCAGCATAATGTCCTCCAGGGTCACCCATGTTGTTTATTGTTTTACAGTGCTGCTTTGTATGCCATTGAGTGAATATATCATGGTTTTTCTATCCATTCATTTGTTGATGGGCACTTAAGCCTCTCAAACTGTAAAAGGAATGAAATTTTAAAATTTAGGGCCAAAATAAGTGAAATGGAAACCAGAAAACCAACTGAAACTCTCAAAAAAGTCAATAAAATCTACAAACTACTATTACAAATAACAAAGGGGAGAAAAAAAAGACACAAATAATCTGAGTAACAGGTGAAAGGGGCAAAATCACAACAGAACCAACTGAAATATTCTCGACTTTCAGCAAAGATCCATCTGACATCAGCAATGGTATTCCGGGCTCCACAGCCTCTTCTAAACCTCTTTAATAAAGTTTTGCTTACATGTGATATTAATGATATTATTCAATAATTTTCACATTCTGTTGGATTAGTTTTCTTAGGAACTGAAGCAGGTATGTATGTTTTCCAGTCAGTTGGCAAGGTAGTTGCCTTCCAAATTTCCTGTCACAGACCGGTAAGCACATCTAGGATTTCATTTGTTAGTTGAAACCTGTCAATTGGTGTCCCATCAATGCCTGGAACATTTCCCCCCCGCCCCCCCCCCAGTGCTTTCAGTGCAGCTTTAACCTCTTCCTTTATCATCATTAGTCCCTGATAATATTGTATTTCCTGAAATGATTCTGTGCCAGCAAGTTGTTTTTGGTACAGAGATACTATATTCCTTCAGTCTTGTAACTAGAGGCTTAAATCTGTTTCTCAGCTCTTTCAACTTGAAAAATATGAACTGATTCTTCCTCTTTTACTCTCCAAATGCAGCTCCTTGCACTTTCCATTGTAGTACTTTGCTTACATTTCAAAGAATGAGAATCCTGGAACACTTAAATATGCTTATATGAAAACTATAGCTAGATCAAGAGGCAATTGCCCAAACAAAACAAAGGAACACTAGCTGGTTTAAAATCAAAGCAAGTGTGAGTCAAGATTGTATCCATTGTCCATACCTACTCAATATGTATGTGAGAAAATAATTTGAGAAGTTGGTCTTTATGGAGAAGAATGTGGCATCTGGATAGAAGGAAGACTCATTAGCATCAGGAAAGCAGAAAGACTCATAATCATAGCGGGGTTATACAGATGACACAGTCTCACTTGCCAAACTGAGGAGGACTTAAAATGCTTCCTGCACAGGTTAAAACAACACAACAGCAATAACAACAACAAGAACAACAACAAAAAATCCCCCCACCAAAAAACCACAAAACCAAACCACAAAAAACAACTAAGGTCTTCAATATGGCTTACACCGCAACATAAAAAAGACAAAAATCTTCACCACTGAGACAGTGATCAACTGTGAAGATAGATGGAGATATATTGAAATTGCAATTATTTCATTTTATTTGGATCCACAATCATTACCTTAAGTACTAGTAGTAAAAAATTTGAGATTTATTGCTTTGGGAAAGTCTGCTATCAAGAACCTCTCCAAAGTAATAAGGAGCAATGATTATCAGTTTAAAGATTAAGGTGCCTTTGATCACTTGCTATTCATCTGAGAGGTGGACAAATGAATAAACATAATTTTGCCTTGAGTTGTGATGAACAAAGATCCTAAACACCAGGCCTTTAAGCAACATCATGATAGATGGAGAAAAGATTGAAGTTGTTAATTATTTTATCTTACTTCAGCAAAGGAATCAAAGTACATATTACATTGACAATATCTGCTATCAAGGCCTTTCCAAAATGCTAAAAAAACAAAGATTTAAAAACCAAGGTGTGCCAAATCCAAGCTATGATATTTTCAGTTAATTGATTTACATGTGTTTGACAATGAATAAGAATGACAGAACAATCTATGCCTTTTTTAAATGGGGAAGAATACTGAATATCCTATGGACTGTCAAAAGAACAAACACATCTGTTTTAGAGCACATGCAACCAGGATACTCCTTAGAGGCAACAATGGTGAAAATTCCTTTCACATAATTTAGACTTGTTGTTAGGAGGAGCAACTCCTTGGAAAAATACCACATTCTGGGAAAAGAAGAAAATCCCTAACAAGATGAATTGGCACAGTGACTGTGACAATGGGCTTTAGTATACCAAAACATTGAGGATGTCACAGGAGAGAGGAAGTTTTAGATGTTTGTTCATAGGATTGTTATGTATTGTAGTAGACTCATTAACAGCAATAGCCATAATGTATACATACCTGGTGATGTAATCTATAGTTTGTGGTGTTGTTAATCCAAAAGCCACACTTCTCTGCTGGTTTGAATCCAGACATAGCTGTAAGGGAATTAAATAGTATGTTTCCTCCTGATACTATTTATAGTCTGAAAAATCCAATGGAAAGCTATGTGTCAGAACTGACTCAAAAGTAGAGTTTGATAGCACTAAGATTAAATTCATGTGTATATAGAACTTGTATTTACACTGGAATGTACACTGCCATCCCGCCACCTAGCAACTGCTCTGTGAGAGAAAGCTGGGAAATCCCCTCGCATGGTTTGTGGTTTGTGGCCTCTGAAAATCTTTGCAGAGTCAGCTCTGAGTCACTTCTGGCTATACAGTACGTAACAACAGTGTGTGTGTGTATATATATATATATATATTTTCACATATTTAAAAACAAACTACTCAGTTATTCTGGAAATATCTTTCTTTACAGAGGAAGACGAGTGTGCCAAACCAGACCGTGGAGGCTGTGAGCAGCGCTGTCTGAACACCCTGGGCAGCTATCAGTGTGCCTGTGAGCCTGGCTACGAGTTGGGGCCTGATAAAAGGACCTGTGAAGGTAAGACTCACTCTGCACATATTCCTTGCTTGGATATTCCTCTCTTCATATGCTTCTTTCCCTTGTATAGTTTCAATTTATGTTATATTTATTCTTCCTCTTCTCCAGAGACAATGACCTCCTGCTCTATTTACTAACTCAGTTTATGGTGATAGTCAATGTGAAAACTTGTTTGGCTCCTTTTTTTGCTATCAGCTCCTTCCTTCTGTGTCTGTGTGTGGAGTGTGTGTGTGTTTGTGTGCTTCTCTTTAATTGTTACTCAAAACAACCTCATTTGTGCCAGAACAAAACCTTGGCCCATAGAGCTTTAAGATGCTGATATTTTGGGATTGTTGGTATTATATCACTATGATCGATGATCTCTGTCTTTATGTAACTCTGTGTGTGTACACATTCATCTATGATTATCAACAGTCTTGACACCAGCAATCAGGGAATTAAAAGACGAATTGCATTCGGGAAGTCTGTTGTCAGGGACCACTCCAGAGTGGTGAGGAGCAATGCTCACCGTGCACCTGCTTCAGACCATGGTCTTCACAATTACTTGCTATGCATCAGAGAGCTGGACAATGACTAAGGGTAACGGAAGAATGAATGCCTTTGAGTTGTGGTGCTGGAGAAGAGTATTGTCCACCAGAAGAACAAATATATCTGTCTTGGAGAGGGTGAAACCATATTTCTCCTTGAAATCAAGGATTATGAAGCTCCCTCCCACCTACCTTGGACATATGGCCAGGAGAAACCACATACTTGGCTCCTTGTCATGCTTGAAAGTGTGGAGGGACAGTGCAGGAGAGGAAGACCTGAAATGAGATGGATTGACAAAATACCTGGGAAAGGGGGATTAGATGTGTCAGAGTCAGTAAGACTGGATCAAGATAGGGCAGCTTTTAGAGCTGTTGAACATAGTTTTAGGTGACTCAACAGCATCTGTGATTTTTTTTTTTTTCTTGGCAAAGCTTATAAGCATGTTTGGGTTTTGTGTTTTTTTTTTAAGTGATGGGAAATGAATTATCTCCCTTTTGTTATCTTTCTCCTCTCTTTCCCAGTATGTCTTTTTCTAAATGTCTGCCCCTTTCTTATAACAAATCCAAAGTAGATGAAGTGACATATTATCATCCTTGATAAACACTGGTTAACACTGGAAGCTTCTTTTTAAATTGGATTATTATTGTTATGTTCTGTCAAACTTGGAACTCCTAGAACTGACCTTTAGCCAACTGACCCTCCAGTGGGTTTTCAGAGGCAATAAATCACATGGGAAGAAATTGCCTATCCCTCTCCCATGGAGCAGCTGGTGGATTTGCACTTTCTACTCTTAAGATGGAAGCAGAATTTCTCACCACTAGACCACCAAAGCTTCCTTGTAAATTGGATTAAATGATTAAACTAATGAATAAGAAACTATGAAAAAACTGAGAGACTCCAGCTTTCCATATTTACAAATCCAGAAGACAGTCGAAAAAATGATACTGAGATGTTTGAAAGTCAATGGACAGGTATTTAATAGATTATTTTCTTGCTCTTGTTGTTGTTGTGTGCCATTGAGTCACCTGTGACTCATAGCAACTCTATGTACAACAGCCTTAAACCCTGTTCTGTGTCAATCTCATTATCTCCAACACACCTACCCCTATTACTCCAGTCACTGAATCAATCCACCTTATCAAGGGTCTTCCTCTCCTACGCTGTCCCTCCATCCTCCCAAGCATTACATCCCTCTCCAAGGACTGATTCCACCTTGCAACATGTCCAAGGTATGTCAGACGAAGCTTCAAAATTCTTGCCTCCAAGGAGAAGCCTGGATCAACCCACTCTAGGGAGAATCTGTTCATTCTCTTAGCAGTCCACAGTATATTCAATACTCTTCTCCAGCACCACAGCTCAAAGGCATCAATTCTCCTTTTATCATACCTAGTGATTGGCCAGCTTTTTGATGCAAAGCAAGTAATGGCAAAGACCATGAACAGTATCAGGTGCACCTTAGTCTCCACTCTGACATTGTTGCTCTTCAGTACTTTGGAAAGGTCTCTGACAGCAGACTTTGCCAATACAATTCATAGTTTAATTTCCTGACTGCTGGTACCAAGAGAGTTGATTGTAGAGCCAAGTGCAAACTGAAGCTGTTAACACTCTCAATCCCTTCACCATCCATCATGATGCTGCTAGTCAGCCCAGTGCTGAGAATCTTTGTTTTCTTGATGTTGAGCTTCAATTCATACTGAAGGCTGCAAGCTGTTCAGGTTCTCCTCCGTGTCAGCAAGCAAGGTTGTATCATCTGCATAATGCAGATTGTTGATGAGTCTACCTCCATTCCTGATAACATGTTTCTCCCCATAGAGTCAAGCTTCCTTGATAATCTGTTCTGCATATAGATTGAAAAGATACGGAGATAGGACACAACCTGGTGCATACCCTTCCCCATTTTGAACCACAGTGTTTCCTAGCTCTGTCTGACGACTGCCTCCTAATCCATGTACAGGTTTCATTTAAGCATGATCAAGTGTTTGGGATTCTCAGTCTTCTCTGATACAGCCGCAGTTTTGTTTTTTTGGGTTTTTTTTTGTTTTGTTTTTTGTTTGTTTGGTTTTGGGGTTGCTTTTTTTTTATTTACACAGTCGAATGTATTTGCATAGTCAATGAAACACAGATAGGCATTCCTCTGGTACTCTCTGCTTTCAGCCAAGATCTATCTGACATTAGCTATAATATACCTAGTACCACAACCTCTTCAAACCCAGCCTACACGTCAGGCAGTTCTCTGCTGAAGTACTGTTCCAGCAATTTTTGGATAATCTTCAGCAGAATCTTGCTTGCATGTGATATAAGTGATACTCTTTGATAATTTCCACACTCCGTTGGATCACCTGTTTTAGGAATGGGAACAAAAAGAGATATTTTCCAGTCAGTTGGCAAGATGGTTGTCCTCCAGATTTCTTAGCACAACTTAGTGAGCACATCCAGGACAATATCTGTTTGTTGAAATATGTCAGTTACTGTGCCATCCATCAATTCCTGGGGCCTTGATTTTTGCCAATTCTTTCAGAGCAGCTTGGACCTCTACCTTTATCACCACAAGCTCTTGCTCATATATTGTTTCATGAAATTAATCAGTGCCTGTAAGATGATTTTTATTGTTGTTATTGTTATGTGCCGTCGAGTTGTTTGCAACTCATAGCGACCCTATGTACAACAGCCCTAAACCCTGCTCTATCCTGTGCCAATCTCATTGCCCCTGACACACCCATCCCGATTACCCCAGTCACTGAATCAATCCACCTCATAGAGGGTCTTCCCCTCCTGCACTGTCCCTCTACTCTACCCAGCATGATGTCCCTCTCTAAAGACCTGTCTCTCTTTACAACATGTCCAAAGTATGTCAGACGAAGCCCCAGAATCCTTGCCTGCAAGGAGAAACCTGGTTTAACCCTCTCTAGGATGAATCTGTTTGTTTTCTTGGCAGTCCATGGTACATTCAATACTCTTCTCCAGCACCACAGCTCAAAGGCGTCAATTCTCCTTCTATCCTCCCTAGTCATTGTCCAACTCTCTGATGCATAACAAGGATTGCAAAAACTATGGCCTATATCAGGTGCATCTTAGTCTCCAGAGAGACACCGTTGCTCTTGAGTACTTTAGAGAGGTCCCTAACAGCAGACTTTCCCATCACAATATGTTTATTTCCTGACTGCTGGTGCCAAGAGTGTTGACCGTGGAGCCGATCAAACGGAAGCTGTGAACACTCTCAATCTCTTCACCATCCATGCTGATGCTACCAATTGGTCCAGTGGTGAGAATTTTTGTCTTCTTGACATTGAGCCTCAGTCCATATTGAAGGCTGCAGTCCTTGACCCTCTGCAGTAAGTGCATGAGGTCCTCCTCAGTTTCACTGAGCACGGTTGTGCCATCTGCATAACGCAGATTGTTGATAGATCGTCCACCAATCCTAACCCCATACTTCTCCTCATAGAGCCCAGTCTCTTGGTTAATCTGCTCTGCATACAGGCTGAAAAGGTACGGAGATAGGACACATCCCTGGCATACACCCTTCCCAATTTTGAACCATCTAGTGTTGCCCTGCTCTGTTCTGACAACTGGCTCTTGGTCCAAGTATAGGTTTCGCATTAGCACAATTAAATGTTCTGGGATTCCCATTCTTCTCAGAGTCAGCCACAATTTGTTATGATCCACGCAGTCAAATGCCTTTGATTTTTATTAGGTGATTTCATTAACTAAGGAACTATTTTCCCTTTTCTTGTCTTCTAGCTGCTTGTGGAGGACTTCTTACCAAACTTAATGGTACCATAACCACCCCAGGTTGGCCCAAGGAGTACCCTCCCAATAAAAACTGTGTATGGCAAGTGGTTGCACCAACACAGTATAGAATTTCTATGAAGTTTGAGTTTTTTGAATTGGAAGGCAATGAAGTAAGTGAACAAGAAATATCATTTTTCCTATCATTTGAGTAATTCACAGGTACATTACAAAACAAGAAAATGCATTTTGATAATATAATAATATAAAGGTTATCTTTTCTATTTTTTTCTTCTTTTCCTCCCTGCTGTTCTTTTCTACAGCTACCTATGATTTTGCTGGAATTAGATATCTTGTACATTTCTGGGATATTGAAAATTACCCAATTATATTTCAAACTAGCAAATATTTGAAAAATATCTATTTTTCTCTTTAGACATGCTGGGTTTGTTTTGTTTTGTTTTTTTAAATATGCGAATTCTTGATTCATGAAAAAACTGTGAAATATCTAGGGTCAGCTTCATGTCATATAAATGTACATAGGAAAAAACAAACAAACCAAAATTCACCAGTTGGGACATAACAAGATACATCCATTTAAATGAATGTAGTAGATTTTCCTTATGGAAATTGTATATATTCACTTTAAGATGTATGCATCTTTATTAAAAAAAGAAATATTAGGGTTTAAAAAATAAATTTAATTGAAAATATCTTTATAAAAACAGAGCATTTGTTCAGGGGGCAATCTTTAAACAAGAGAATTCTTTTATGTAAAAATGTCTTTGTGCTAGTACACACATACCAACTTCAGATGGAATGCAACATCTAGAAATGAGAACATTTAAGAATGTGCCCTTTGTATAGTCAACATTGGTTTAATTCCAGAGAAAATGTTCTAAGTGTTTGTTTAATTTTATCTTTCCTTATGTCTTTATCTTCCCCCAAAAAATTTTTTTCAGTTTTTTTTTTAAATTAACGTGATTTAAAACTTCCAAGTGTGATGTATTTACTCTCATAAATGATTGTTTTTTATGTATCTTTGAAACACTGGTAAAGAAATAAGAGAAGCAAAATATGTCTGTGCCCATAGTGCTGTAATTGTTGAAAATATTTGCGGTTTTAGATGGTAATTTTGCTGTTGTATAAGTATCTTTCTATCTTTCTTTGTAATTACTTTATTTCTTTTTAAAATTCTACCTATAGTGACTAAGGACACTTATTTTTCTGTGTCCTTAAAAGAAAGTAAAATGGCAAATATGATGAACTTATGTTCATAAACCTCTAGAATCTTTGAGCTCAATCTATTTTTAAAATTTTCTTAATATTATGGATAAGTTTTATGAGGAGTTTTAAGACTACATTTTATGTTGTTAAAGATACTTTATCCAAATTAAACACCATCTTTCTTCAATAATTTTCTCAAATATTAGAGAAAAATTTCAAGTGAAGAAAATACTTTGCCCGGTACTGGAAGGAAAAGTTTTACATAAGCTTCATTATCTGGAAATCAGAGTTTTTCTCCTATGTCTATGATTCAGTATGAATTTGAGTTTAATGATTTTACACTCATAGTTTTCCCTTTAGTTACTGGTTGTGTCAGGGATGACATTTTGATTCATTAATAGATGTTCCTAAGGAGGCTAGAAAAAGAGTGTTCAGCAAGAAAAAATGGGTGAGTTTTTCATAAATGAAGTATTGTGCCCTGAAAGCATTATTCTCATAGCAGTAGCCCTCATTCATAATGGAAAGGCCCTCTACGAACTGTAACATACCCAGAATCTGTTAATTTACAATGGTATTACTGTGTAGACTGCTGTTACAGAATTTGATATCTTTTCGTAGTTGTGTATCTTAGTTGCTTAAAATGAAAAGTCCTGGGCCAAAATATAACTTATGGAATATTGAGTTAAATTGCATAATCTTACTAATATATTTATAACCAAAATAAAGTCAGTGACAGCTTTGAGACCATCCTGTACTATGTTCAAACCTTCTCTAAACAAAAATTCAAGCTATAATAAAGTACATAGAAAACTACATCATTATCTCTATAACAGTTTATTTGTCACTTAATATTAGAAGAATCAGTGATTTGAGTTGATATATTACAAAATACAGACTATACCTCAGGGCTCAATCATATTCCTTGTAAACCTTAACTAATTACCTACTTATATAATAAAGTTATTCATGCAAGATGTGGTCTTTAAAATGCACCCTACAGTAAGCTAGGAAAAGTGTGTTATGGAAACTTCTCTTGGTAGCCATGAAATTGCTTAAGAATACCTGGCATTCATCGAGCTTCATCCATTTTGGTGGTGTTGGGATATTGCATATAAATCAAAATTGAGTGTACGTCATTTTGTTGTAAACTTCTGCTTCATTCTACTGAATACAGAGCCTGTTTGTTTGCCTTGCAACAATCTTACAGAGTAACTTCACAGTGCCTAACAAGTCAAAGAAATGAAGAACTGTCTGCTCTTTTAAAAGTTTGAAAAACAAATGCACTTTTTCTTTAACCTACTAATGTTGCTATTCTATTTAGAATTTAGTTTGCAGGAGACAACTTTGAAAAATTATGTAAAACTCCATTGCTCCTAATCATTGCAATTCCATTAGGGGTATTTTTTTATTTAAAATACATAAAAATTCTGAATGACAGATTTCTTTTCATTATAATGGAGATGATTAATTCTGTTACTAGACTAATTGTAAATATTCATAATATGTTGTTTGTATTCTGTAGTGTTAAAACAACCAATACTTGACCCCCCAGCAGGTTTTCAGAGGTAGTTAACCATACAAGAGTACATTGTCCATATTTCTCCTGGAGATAAACTGGTAGAGTCTAATCACATTCATACCTTTTGGTTGGCCACATGACTCCTTCCCAAAAACTTCCAGAGATCCCTGGTCATAGTATAGTCATGAGTATATTTTATAAACTAATTACTTAGTCTATGAAATGAATTACTAATTACTTAGGCTAAGTGTGAGTATTTATAGCATATTAATTAGTATATTTCATAGACTTATTCTGAATATTGGCCAGAACTCTGTAAGAATGTATTTCACAGTTCCCAGTGAAAATTTTGAAATTACAAATATACAAAATGAAATTCACTACTACTTTTCTTGTGACAACCAACATTATAACATCAACAATATTTATGTTAGTTCCTTTTCATATTTTTGAAAAATTTTGTGCTATAAATGCATACAGAAATATTCATTTCCATACACATCTCTTTGAGATATTCAGAGCAAAATTATCTAGTTTGACATCTCTGTCTCATATTTGAATGATTTTCTTGACTTGTAGAATCCCTTCTTATAATGACAGGACAAGAAAAAAAAGGGACTTTAAAAATTTCTTTTTTTCAAAGATAAATGTCAGTCATATAATATTCTCATATCTCATGTAAATAATATTCATTTCCTTTATAGGTTTGCAAGTATGATTATGTGGAGATTTGGAGTGGCCTTTCTTCAGAGTCTAAATTGCATGGTAAATTCTGTGGTGCTGAAGTACCTGAAGTGATTACCTCTCAATTCAATAACATGAGAATTGAATTCAAGTCCGATAATACTGTATCCAAGAAGGGCTTCAAAGCACATTTCTTCTCAGGTACGAATATTTATCTGTTGGATATTGGCTGTTCAGTGCCAGACTTCTGTATATCAGCCCTGAGACTAATTTTGGACCAACTCATCTCAGTCTCTTCCACCACCCATGTGTTAGTGGAGGATTGCGATATCATGGTGCTGATCAAGTTTTGGTGGAGTTTCCAGACCACGGTAGACTAAGCAGAAAGACTTGACAATCCTTTTCTAAATATCAGACAATGAAAAAAAGTCTTTGGAATGCAATCTCTTTGTTTATGGTGTCCCCATGTGTGCGAAGCCATTTCAACAGCTGCTAACAAAATGTATCAGAGATTTTTAAGGCAGATCTATTTAAACTGTGTTTTATCTTTCTTTATAGATTTCTGTAAATTGAATTTGGAGAAATATAGAGTGCATGAACTTCTCCTGTAGGTTTAACACCTTATTACTTAAGATGAAGATATCAGGAACCCTAATGAAAAATATTCACCCAAACATGAAGCTGTTTTATAAAACACAGTAAAGTAAAATAAAGACTAGAATATAACTCACAAACTTAAGTATAATCATATTCTCATGGAGTAATTTTACTGTTTACAAATAGATGGGATGATGTCAGACTTCCAAAACAAAACAGCTTATTCAGGATAATTTCTCTTCCTTTTGAGTTATTTATTCCCATTTTAGAAGCATAAATGTTGTTTTTATGATTTTCAGACTCAATAGCATGTAACAACAACAACTGCACCAGCATATTTATTATATCATTGTGTTTTCATTCTAATCATTATACTCATATTAAAATAAAATTGCTTTACATCACCACTATAGAAATGATTCAAAGTATCTGTTCTGGAAAACAATGACTCAAATTGTATAAATAAACTAGTACAATAGTAATAAAAGAAATTATTGTATAAAACATAGAAATAGAGAAATTATGATTGTATTTTAAGTAATAGATTGTCAGATATATTTAGGACTTGATCATCATGTGCCAGGAACTTAATGTTCAACCACCTTGAAGTAAAATGTCCCTTTTAAGGAACTGAAATTTGCTAAAAGATCCTAAAATTTTAAGATATGTAGAAAAGATAGAGACATTTTTCAGTATCATACTGAAACTGCAAAAGAAGATAGAACATAAATAATCTTATTGTAGCAACCTATTCTGCATTTTAGCATGTTGTTGTTGTTTAATGCCGTCGAGTCGTAACAATTTAATTCCAACTATGTTTTAATAGTAGGCGATTTGAATTGAGTTAATTCAAAGTTCATTTTATCAAGACCCTATGTATTAAAATAAATGAGATCTCCAGTGTTCAGGGTTTGTTTGAGATATTCAGCATAATTGAAGTTAATAAATCAAAAGCGCCATCCAGGTCCAAATTACACTCAAAATTAGTAGAATGACATTCAAAAGAAATAGAATTCAGGCCTTTTATTCTCTTTTCCTTAAACCCAGAGTTCAGCTAATTTAGTTACCTTTAAAATATTATTCTAAAGCATTTATTTAAGATATATTTTATTTCAGAAGAATTTTCATGAAAAGAATTCTGCTCAGACTTAACTTTTATTTTAAATGAACCAATGGTAATACAATGATTTTACCACCTTAACTAAACTGTTTTAAAAATTAAAATTATGAAGTGAGTAAAAAGAATCATAATAGTGAAGTTTTGAGAGTATTTTTAAAATTAATGATTCATTTTATCTAATAGTTCTTTAGAATATTTTAAGACTACATATTCTACCTACAATGTCTAAATAAATTTAAAATACTCAAAACTTTGTTGTTGTTGTTCTGTGCTATTGAGTCAGAACCAACTCATAATGGACCCTCCAGAGAGTTTTCAGAGGCAGTACATTACATGAGAGGAAATTGACCATCCTTCTTCAGCAGAGAAGCTTGAGGATTTGAATCTTGTGAATTCAAATCTCATACATTTGGGACTGCAGTGGAGCTTCTCACTCTAGGCCATATTTAAAGAAATCCCTGCATGGTCCTAGTGGTTAAATGCTCAAGTACTAGCTAATAGATTGGCAATTAGAAATGACGTAGAGATGCTTGAAATGCTGGTGGTTTGAACCAACTCGGAGGTACCTCAGAAGAAAGATGTGATAATTTTCTTCTGAAAAGAATTGTATAATAATAACAATAACCAAGCCCAAAACTCCATAGAATAGAGTCTATTCATAATGACCCTATAAGACAGAGTAGAACAGCCTTATATAATTTTGAAGGCAGTAAATATATCTTGAAGCAAACTGCTACATCATTCTCCAAATCACAGTTGGTGAATTTGGACAACTCACCTTTCAGTTAGCACCTGGACACTTAACCATTTCACCACCAAAGCTCCTTCTGAAAGATTACAGTCTTGTACTTATGGAGCTGAAAATTACTATCACAGGTAAGGTCACCATAAGCTGAAATCAACTCTAGAGCAAGAAACAACAATAAATTAAATACAGTATATACATATAATTATAGATACACACACACACACAGTTTTTATTATGATTGCCTTCTAGTTGAGCATGACTCATAACAACCCTATGAATAAAGGGCCTGAAGCCCCTCTACAACTATTGACATTTATCAAAGTTCATAAAGTTTCTGGAGGCAAGTTTAAGAAGTGGATGCCACTCCTGCTATACACAAATACATATAATTACATATATATATATACATATACATATAAATACTTATAATTAAAGATAGTATGGGGCTGTGGCAGATGGAACAGCGGGAGAGTGTGTTTGGGTGGGTCTGGGTTTGACCAGAGGTTTGGGGTGTGAGGGTGAACTTAGCTTTGTGGAACACTCTGACCCTGGCCTCTCTGCCTTCTCACCGAGAACTTGTAGTATGTTGCTTTACTCCCCAGACCCTTTGGACACTCTGTCTTGATCCCTATATTCTCTCACTGCTGGGCTCTCACTGCTGGGTTGCTTTTTCCCAAATTCTCCCCTTAGGTCATTTTTTGAGCGCGCCAGCCCCTATGCCTCTGGCCATACCTTTGGATCATGCCCCTCCTCTCCCACCTTTCCCTCCCGAGCTCACCAGCATCTCTGAACCAAGGTCCTATCCTCCAGAATGCTCATACCCTTGGACTCTTCATTGAGTTTCCCCATCCCAAACAGCTCCTTGAGGCCTGATCCTGTGAAATCTCTGGTTACAGTGTGTGGCTTCTGCCTCCTGATTGTCTCCTCAGACTCTGACTCCATTTGCCCTCTTCTCATTCTGACTTCATCATCCAGTCTCCTATACAACTTTCACCCTACAGTACCTTGTCTCTCCAAGCCCCATACCTCTCCCTTTCCCCCTTTAGCCATAGCCCTGGCCTTTCCCCAGAGACCTCAGACTTGGGCCCCTCTGACCACTTTCTACTTTCTAGCTTGGCTCCTTGAAGTCTCATTTCCTTCCCTATAACACAGGTCCCAAACCGTCACAATCTATGATCTACAACCCTATTTTTTTTACTCTTTTTAGACCTGATCCATTTTTTACTACCTTACTTCCCTTCCACTTTTGCGCCTTCCACCTCCAGTCCTCCTGGGAAGACAAGCTAGATGGACTCCATTCTCCCTCAAATCTCTCTGAAATGAGATATGAACAAGCCTTTATAAGTTTTTTTTTTGCAGCCATAGTCCTCTTAGTGGATAATGGACTCCCCATTTCTTCATTCTCAATCTTACCATAAATTCAAGCTCAAATACCACTCTTTCTTGAAGAGACCCATTCATGTTCTCATCAGTTAAATATGATACATCTACAATTAAAATAAGCTTGGAAGCAGGAGTAGCATCCACAACTGAAATAGCTTGCCTCCAGAAACGCTATGAATTTGGAGAAACGATGAAAGTTATATAAGTGCTCAGATATTTCATTCATGGGGTCATTATGAATCATCTATGACTTGATGGCACTTAACAACAATAGCAAAACATATCATACATATTATTAAAGAAAATAGCTATCTTATTTTTGTCTATTTTCTTATATTCAACAGTGCTTTTTAAAAATGATGAATTAATTAGATTATAGTGCCATTTGAGAGTGTCTGTACTATTTGATGGAGTATAAATAATTAAAATAAGTGAATGGAACAATAAAGCTCAAGAGTTATACACCAAACTTTCTTATTTTGCCATTTTTGCAAACTTCTTAAGCAAGCAAACATTATTTCTATCACATCTGTGATAAGCTAATTAACTAGTACATTATTTCGGCAGTTGAAGAAATTGAAGAGTTGGAAATTACACAATTTCCCAAAATGTTTAAACATATATTGTCTATTTCACAGATCATCCTCTGAATCATAACAACCAATTATGCCTTTTGTAAATTATATTAATTGTGTGTTACACTCAACATGTGTATGATCTGAAAAATAGTAACAGACATATTAGTTTATTAGATTATTGTTTTGTAAAATCTAAGATAGGTATTATCAACTTTACCAATGTCAATTTATTATTGTATCAAAAAGTCTTGGCAGCTTTTCAGTGTCACAACTTAAAACATTTTAGTTTTTGATAAGTAATTGAAACCAATGAAAAATAAATTTTCTGAGAATCTTTGTTAGTGAAAATTATGTTTCCTCAGGGGAATAAAGAAAAATGCATTATTTTTATAAAAATAGCTATTGTTGTGCCCTCTAGGGTGGGCAGTACAAAGAGAAAGAAGAATATAAGTGATAATTATGATTATTTTGTCTAACCTTGAGAAGAATGGGAATTCTAGAACACCTGATGGTGCTCAAGCAAAACCTGTACTTGGACCTGGAGGTAGTCATCAGAACAGAGCAAGGAAATAGTGCATAGTTCAAAATCAGGAAAGGAGTGTATTAGTCCTGTCACCATACCTTTTCAATCAATATGTAGAACAAATCATTCTTGAGGCTAGACTTTATGAGGCGTAATGTGGCATCAGGACTGGAGGAAGATTCATCAGCAAACTACATTATGCAGATGATATAACCTTGCTTGCTGAAACTGAGGAGGGCCTGAAGCATTTGC